AGTGTCCTTACTTGTAAAACACTTCCCAAACAAGTCTCAGGGTTTTATGAGGAAAGATAACAAGAGAGCAAACGCCTCGGGGGAGAAAGAGAAAAATCTATCCAAGTATTATACATGTTTTAAGCAAAAACGATGCTCTCCTTTGAGCCGTTGTTAGAGTGTGGTGTGCCCTCTTATAGACACCTCAAGAACGCTGTGTGGTGAGCAGCTGTCCAGCAAAGACTGTCACAGTCAATAGTCATTTCCAGAGGACACGGGGGAGCAGCGTGGGGGCAGCGGGCCATTTGAAATACCCTTTAAGAACATAATTACCTGACAAGCCAAGCTGCTTCTTGGGTAGAAAGAGGCACGGGCCATCAAGGGGGAGAGTGGGTGGATGTCACCTCGCCATTACTCTGTCACTGGAGACCTTGCACACATTTTTATTCCTTCCCACAATTATTCTTTCGTTTCATATAATTATTCATACTCTGCAGTGACACATAGAAAAGCAATTTACCTAATATTTCTCTCTATAGGGGAAGGCTAAGCCATTATAAAAAAGATTTCTGGCCTTCATTATACTCCATAGCTTTTCTGAAATAAGACAAATATATTCATTTTTCATGATGGGCTTTTGTTGGAAAGTTCTTTACGACTTTTAAGATTTAGTCCATTCGTTCTTATAACCCTGTGCTGCCACAACACATCTTCCTCAACCTCTTTCTGCAAAAACTTCTAGAAAGACATTGGGAGGTGTCCCGGAGCCATGGACATGTCTGACCTTCCTCACATAGGAATCCTCCTCACGTGTTTTGACAAGAGTTATGGAAATTCTGTTGGAATTTTTCTAGTTATAGAGAACTCCGCATCTTTCAAGATAGCTCATTTTATTTCTGTGCGTCTCTTCTGGCAGGAAAGCTCGTCTTTGCATCAAGCTGATGTCTACCTGTTTGTTTTTCCTCTTGTCTTTATGTTCTGACTCCACGATTTATCTTTTAAATCCATCCTCATCAGCACACAGCAGTTCCCTCGCTGGAAAGAGCCGTAAGAGCCCCACCCCTCATTTTCTCTTAGCCACAGTATATTCTCAGGTGTTCTCTGTTCTTAACCTACCACAGTTTTCGGGTTTTTACTAACATGCTATTTCATCTTTCAAGTAATCTTTTTCAGGATTCCAGAATTATTTTTACTTCCCATGCAAACTTTTTCCAGTTTATTCTGAAATATTTTAGCAAACGTGCTGTATGCCTTGTCTCTTTTATTGTAAACACATCTACACAGAGAAAGGATACACCCTTTAATTATATAAAATCTGCTTCTCAGCCTTAATCTCTTAAGTAGCAATGAAATATTTCTCCTCCATCCTTCGGATTTCAACTCAGCTCACATGGTTTCCCCTACTTGCTTTCTGATGTATCTTATCCCTAGAGCTAAAATTTTAGAAAATATTTAATACTCAAATGAGTATTCTCCATTGCGCACTCACAGCCCAGGAGGGAGCTTGTAACAGAGGTCACAATGGAGCCAGGCTGGAGAGGTCATCATAGCCCAGTGTAAAGTCTGCTGGTGGCTTTGCAAATGATGATCGATCACTTTTCTTCATAACTACTGCTACCTGATACTTAAAAAAAAAAACTTGCTGTGATCTCTTACTAGTATCTTTTTTTTCTTTGAGTGAAAAAAAAATCTGCAAAGGAAATATAGTGGAAATAGAATGGAAGGACAGAATAAAAATGGATCTGTTCCAACTGGGCAATGCTGAGGAGAGTGTTTGCAAAGAGGATGTGTAGATATGAAGAGACTTCAATACGGGATGGGGGACAGGGAGACATTGTTTCTTTTTTAAAAAACTGATTTAATTGTAAAAATAATTCACATGGGATTTACCCTCTTAATACATGTTTACAATTATTTAACTTTAGGTGCATACTACATCTAGCATTTCTCCCCATGTTATCCCTCCCCACCCCCCGCTGTTGCTCCCCTACCCCCACCAACTGCCCCCAGTGTGTGATGCTCCTCTCCCTGAGTCCATGTGTTCTCATTGTTTGATGCCCACCTATAAGTGAGAACATGCGGTGTTTGGCTTTCTGTGCTTGCATCGGTTTGCTGAAAATGATGGTTTCCAGATTCATCCAAGTCCCTACAAAGGACACGAACTCATCATTTTTTATGGCTGCATAGTATTCCATGGTGTATATATATCATATTTTCTTTGTCCAGTCTATCATTGATGGGCATTTGGGTTAGTTCCAGGTCTTTGCTGTTGGACAGAAGGCTGCAATGAACATACATGTGCATGTATCTTTATAGTAGAACAATTTATAGTTCTTTGGGTATATGCCCAGTAATGGGATTGCTGGGGCTAATAACCAGAAGGTACAAAGAACCGAAACAGATATACAAGGAAAAAAACAAACAGCCCCATTCAAAAGTGGGCAAAGGATATGAACAGACACTTTTCAAAAGACATATATGAAGTCAACAAACATATGAAAAAATGCTCATCATCACTGCTCGTTAGAGAAATGCAAATCAAAACCACAATGAGATACCATCTCACTCCAGTTAGAATGGTGATTATTACAAAATCTGGAGACAACAGATGCTAGAGAGGATGTGGAGAAATAGAAACATTCTTACACAGTTTGTGGGAGTGTAAATTAGTTCAACTACTGTGGAAGACAGTGTGGCGATTTCTCAAGGTTCTAGAAAGAGACTTTGTTTCTTAAGAGTTTATGACCACAAGATGCGATTCCCTATTTAGAACCCATTTTAACTTGAATAACTGTGTAAAGGCAACCGGTAGGGGAGCAGTGGGAATGGGGCCAGTTTGGCGAATGAAAACATGAGCTACTTTCTGGAATTACATAAGGGCATTCCTTAAAGAAAAACAGATAATCCCAAAAGTGTACAGAACGCAAGCTGTTCTCATAATGGAATGTTGCGGTTTGAACTGCAAGTATAAGCCTACCCCCCTTCCTCTAGTACCTGAGAAAGGTCACGAAACCCAGAAATCAGAGTATACACGGGTCATTCTTATATTACAGCTTAGTTTACATAATAAATGCCATGTCATGTTACATATCATGTCGTATTACACAGATGTCAATGTCTGTGGCATTTTGAAAAATGCTTTCAACTTCCCCACAGTTTGCTTAAGAAATCATTTCCTTTTCTCTTCTGAAGCTGGTGCTTCCAGCCTCTTCCTGCCGGCACCACCTCCACCTTCACCTGTCCCCTGAGGCGCACACCCACAGCCCACTTCCATTTCCCAGTTGGCATAAGAATTCTTAGAGGTGTTTTGAGCTATTGTAACACTTTGCTGTAGTGCAGTTTTTCAGTGTGCACGGTTATGTGAAGACCCATTCAAAAGGCCTATAAGAATTCTAATTATTTGTATGTTCCACTAACAAGTTACATGGTGATTGTGAGCCATTGATGACTGGCAAAGAAAAATTACTTCTGACCATTTACAAGTGTAGCTCACTTTGAAATTTATCTCATTTTACCTCTACCGAGGCACTCTGATCACAGAATAAAGTTTCACTCTGATCACAGAATAAAATTTCACTTTGATCAACCTAATAAAAAGTTATGAATACACATATACAATCATCCTTATACCAAATGGATATTGACCCACGGCATGGAGGTCCATGCTGATTTTAGGTCCATCTGCAAACTCCCTTGTGATTTCATAAATGCTTTAAAAGTAGTTCTCAGATTAAATATAGAATAACTATTAGGAACACAGTCTTTGGGGTCCTACAGACATGGGTTTGAAGTCTGGAATTTCCACTTCCACTACTTAATATTATTATTACTTAACATTATTTCTGTTCAAAGTATGACTAGTAGTTATGTCAAAAGTGCATGCTGAAAATTGCATGGGAAAAAAGTTTTTACCTTACTAGAAAAGAGTATAAACTTGATAAATACTAGCTATTATTCTTGTTATTATTAAGTATTTATACTCTCTAAGGCCATCTTTAACTGCAGAGCCTCCATTTTTCTAGGTAAAATATAACTGGCAAAATGTTGCTTGGATAGTATTAACCCTAGAAATAGACAAATAAAAGCCATTTGTGCCAAGAACCTGGAGGATAACTGAATTTTAGTGAGCTATGCTGCAGATGGGTACATCTGCCATTGTTTTATTTTAATTTAAGATCGGCTCATTCCCTTGGATCAGAAAAAGGCAATTTTTTCGATGTTTGTTTTCCCAAACAGCCACCCAAACAAAGAGATGAACGAAGCCCCAATCCCTTCCCATTTGATGAAGTTGTATAAATACACAGCAAACATTGATGCGGCTCGCACGTCATCGAGAAGGTTGAAGCTGTGGCTCTGATGAGGTTTCCCTCCTACTAACCACACCACAGCGTATGATGATGTCTGATCTATGCTGGGTATTTCCGGGCTTTCAGACAGTGAGATTTCTAATGCATTTGGTGTGAGTCATCAATGTAAACGTCCATTTCTGCCTGTTCAGTGCCTCTGAAAGTCCAAGACTCAACCAGCAGTTTGCCAACGCCTGCTGGGCCGTCTTTGTAAAGTGCTTCGCGCCATCTAGTGTCCGATGGAGGCATAGACGTGGGACTCCCTGCGGAGGGAACCGGCCCTCCAGCCACATTGCGGCAAATAAACACCGCACGGTAGAGCCACAGGGCCAGTCATTCATTGTACTTTACATAGCACTGGGTTTTGAAAACATAACCTCCTGCTTAAATCCACTGTTTTTCAGATGAGCCAATACAAACAAAGGCCAGACTACATTTTACATTCTATTAGGGACGCAATCAGATACTGTTTTGCTTTTTTTGCGAAGACTTTGGTTGCTACGTTTTTATAGCCTGCAGCTGCCCTTGTGTGATTCGCTTTCTCGCAATGAGACTTTCTTAGGATCCGCTGGAAACCACAGCACGCTTGCATGCTTCTCCGTGCCTGTGTCCTCCACCAGTCTAACCGCTGTCACGCCTCTATATTTTTCATTCTTCTCTTTTTTTCTTTTTCAGATTGTCTACAAAGCCTGGCTCTGTTCCCAGTATTTTGAAGTCACACAGTTTAACTGCAGAAAGACAATTCCTTGCAAGCAATACTGTCTGGAGGTTCAGACGAGGTGTCCGTTTATATTGCCTGACAATGACGAAGTCATCTACGGAGGCCTCTCCAGTTTCATCTGCACAGGTACGGTGCCGGCGGGGAGTCCCTACACGGTCTTCGCTGGTTTTGCTTTCTTGGGTGATGATTGTTTGCTCTGCTGTTTCCTTCCACGGATATAACCTTGAAGAGGCGACTGGTAGTTTTCCGCACTTTCACTAATAGAAGCACCGAAAGCTCCCCTCGACTGGTCTGGAAATGATTCACTTGCTGCGCCACGTGGTCTATCTATAACTGAGACCACAGTTATTACCTGTGCAAAAATGATGGCAAAATATTAGCAATCGTTAGATATGCTTCCATGTGACCTAGCGTAGGTAAGATTCTGCCTGCATTCCCTTTGAATTACATAAGAACAAAAGACGTGATAAGGCCAGTGAAATCATGCTTTTCAAATTAGCAAGAAGTTTATGTCTCCTTGCCTATTTCCTTTTTATTTTCTGAGAATTTTATGTTATTTTATCTGTAGAACGTATTAAGAGCATTAAAAATATCTGCGTGCATGTGTGTGTGTGTGTGTGTGTGTGTGTGTGTGTGTGTTGGAGCCACACAAATCTATCCATTAAACGATGTCTACTTCTTTCAGCAAATGAGTCAGACTGGACAAAACACAAATATCAGCAGTCCTTTTCTAGATATTTATAAGCATTACATAATTTAGATGAAAAAAGATATAAAGAATAAGAGTCTTTAAAAAAAAAAAAGATAATTAGACAGTAAGAATGAGATACTTTGCCAGGGTGTTTGGACAGAGTTGGGGCTCTGCGTTCTCTTTTTTAAAAACAGTGCTATACGATGTCCCTGGAACTATGTGGCTTGAGTTGTAGCATGTTTCATTTTCAAGTTTAAGGATAAAACATTATCACATGGTCACAGAAACATGAAAATTCTCTTCTCACATTAGACTTCCCAAACGCCTTTAAAACAGACTGACATATTAAGATGCTCAACATGAGAATGTATCCAATTATTTTTGCATCACTTATCTACATACCTATCCATTAGCCATAGTGTTCTAAGTGATACGCTGTCAAGAGATAGTCTGCCAAAGCTCCCCCTAAGTACTGGATAAGTAATGATTTCCTCTTCTTCTTCTTATTCTTTTGAGACAGGGTCTCACTCTGTCACCCAGGCTGGAGTGCAGTGGTGTGATCTTGGCTCACTTTAACCTCCACCTCCTGGGTTCAAGTGATTCTCATGCCTCAGCCTCCCAAGTAGCTGGGATTACAGGTGTGTGTCACCACACTGGGCTAATTTTTATATTTTTAATTTTGTATTTTTTGTATTTGGGTTTCACTGTGTTGGCCAGGCTGGTCTCCAACTCCTGACCTCAAGTGATCTGCCCACCCACCTTGGCCTCCCAAAAGTTGGAATTACAGGCGTGTGCCACTGTGCCTGGCCTAGATTAGTATTTCTTATGCTGCCCAAGCTTGTGGGAAGAATGTGTGACTGAAGGTCAGGAGCCTCAACCTTCATTCTGTTTCTTTTGTGCATTCTCTCGGAGACACCACCCCTTCACTATTAAATTAAAAGTGCAATGGCCAACCCCATCCCACATGGATTTGCTGCAAGGATTACAGATAAGGGAGAAGAGCAAGTTATGTCACTAAGCAAGCACAGCTATTTTACCCAGGAAAGTGAAATGTACAATATTTTCACAGTCCTGTGTGTTATTCTGCTGATTTCATGCTTAAGTCATTTTTTCGGTATCTCCCCTCTGCTGGAGCGGGGGAGGGAGAAGAAGAGGGAAGGAAGCAGTAAAGGAAGGAGGTAGGGAGGAAATCAGTATCTTCTTGCTTTGAGTTTGAGACAAAATTCACCAGACACAGGCTATTAATTCATATTGAATTTCTCATAGAACATTCCACAAATAACCATGAAGATAAGGCCTTCATTTTTTTTTTATTGAGGGACAGTGAGGTGCCGTGACATTAGGACTTCAGAGAAGCCATTGGATTTTTATGTACAGGTTGTATTTATGCATTTACACTCATATTGGCTTTTGTCTTAGAGAAGAACAATAGTTTTCAAACCAATTTCTCCAAGTAGACAGAAAACCCAAATGAAGGACGAGGTGTTTGCATGTTCTTTTTCCTAAATATACCTGTGTTTGTGAATCTGAAATGTATGTTTGAATGCTCACCCCCTTTCTCCATACACATGCAGAATGCTGGGGTGGATTAAATCTCTCACTTCACAACATGGGCAGAGAATGTAATTTGCATTTTTAATTGTTTTCAAGTTTGGTAAAAACAGCTTTTTCATAGCCTTAGCTACATCATTAAGGAAAAGTGACAGGAAAAGAGAGATTTTTCATCAGATCCAGAGAAAAATGCCATCTCTGTGAGAGGCTCCCAGGATAATCTCATTACTGAACATTTGGAAACCTCACTGTTCTTATGTCACTTTCAATTGGGTTAATGGTCATTTTATTTTTAAATTGCTCAAAAATACACAGTCAAATATTACAAAAATACAACTTAAATCCTGAAGTCATTTTTATCCTGAAGTTCTGCAAAAAACAACCTGACAAAAAGGTAATAATTTTCAGATTGATCTTCTTTTCTAAAGTGTGACCCATGCCTCTTGGAAGAATTCTCATCTATGTTCATAACTAGCAGCCATCATTTCCCATCATCAGTTACCAGTGTCCCTTAAGAGTGTACTGATGAGGCCAAATGCAGTGGCTCATGCCTGTAATCCCTTTTGGGGAGGCTGAGGTGGGAGGATTCCTTGATGCCAGGAGTTTCTACTCCTGCCCATCACAGCTGCATGTCCGCTGCTCATGAGAGTCCCAGATATGGCCCCAGAATGGCTTTCATCTTGGATGATGTTAGAATAGACAGCTCCCAGAGGACCACTGGCTAAACTGTGGAGTGGCTTGTCATGCTTCTAAGGAAACTAGTAAGATATGTGCATATAATTCATTCCCAGATTTTTAAGTTTCACATTTTTGGATGTTTGTCTCCTACAAATGTATGTGAATTTTTAAATAGTTTACATTATAAATAAGTTTGGAAGTAAATGTGAGCAGTCAGGTACCTTTATGCATTTTGCATGAAATGTCTTCTGTACTCAGGAAGGGCCAGACTAAATACAGAAGAGAAATGGAACTACTTTTCTAGTTTCCCAGTTGGCTGCTGATAGCTGAAGGCCACCCAGATGGCCTTAGGTTGGATGGCGAGCTCATAGCAACTTCCCATGTTCACAGGTAGTTCTGTTGGATGTCTCCTAACTGAGACAGTGAGAATCACTAAACACAGTGACATCAAAAAGAATTCACCAAGTTGACCTTAACCTTACTTCCAGCAATTTTTCTTTTTGAAAAAAATCATAAAGTATTTGATTTCCACTCTAGATGTTAAAAATGCAATAATTTCTCACTAAGAATTAAAGGAATAGGTGGAGATTCCTTCCAATTCAACAAATTTAATTATAATGGTTTTCCTGCTATTTGAAATGCATCCAATTCACAGCTTCCAGAAGGATGGAGGATTCCCTCTAGGATATTGAGGATTCTTCCCTTACTTTTCTTATCTACCTCAAAGAAAGTATTCTGTGAGCATATAACTGCATATGGCCTGATGACAGACACTGTCCACGTGAGCATCAGCTTTCTTCAAGATGCTTCTGCTTAGTGGCAAAGCAGTGGCACAGTGATTCATTTTCTTCAAGTCCATTGTACCCAGCATCTTAGAGGACCTCAGGTTCTTCCTGTCATTGTCTTATTGGCTATATACCCAGCATCTTAGAGGGCCTCAGGTTCTTCCTGTCATTGTCTTATTGGCTATATACCCAGCATCTTAGAGGGCCTCAGGTTCTTCCTGTCATTGTCTTATTGGCTATATACCCAGCATCTTAGAGGACCTCAGGTTCTTCCTGTCATTGTCTTATTGGCTATATACCCAGCATCTTAGAGGGCCTCAGGTTCTTCCTGTCATTGTCTTATTGGCTATATACCCAGCATCTTAGAGGGCCTCAGGTTCTTCCTGTCATTGTCTTATTGGCTATATACCCAGCATCTTAGAGGGCCTCAGGTTCTTCCTGTCATTGTCTTATTGGCTATATACCCAGCATCTTAGAGGGCCTCAGGTTCTTCCTGTCATTGTCTTATTGGCTATATACCCAGCATCTTAGAGGACCTCAGGTTCTTCCTGTCATTCATTGTCTTATTGGCTATATACCCAGCATCTTAGAGGGCCTCAGGTTCTTCCTGTCATTGTCTTATTGGCTATATACCCAGCATCTTAGAGGACCTCAGGTTCTTCCTGTCATTGTCTTATTGGCTATATACCCAGCATCTTAGAGGGCCTCAGGTTCTTCCTGTCATTGTCTTATTGGCTATATACCCAGCATCTTAGAGGGCCTCAGGTTCTTCCTGTCATTGTCTTATTGGCTATATACCCAGCATCTTAGAGGGCCTCAGGTTCTTCCTGTCATTCATTGTCTTATTGGCTATATACCCAGCATCTTAGAGGGCCTCAGGTTCTTCCTGTCATTGTCTTATTGGCTATATACCCAGCATCTTAGAGGGCCTCAGGTTCTTCCTGTCATTGTCTTATTGGCTATATACCCAGCATCTTAGAGGGCCTCAGGTTCTTCCTGTCATTGTCTTATTGGCTATATACCCAGCATCTTAGAGGACCTCAGGTTCTTCCTGTCATTGTCTTATTGGCTATATACCCAGCATCTTAGAGGGCCTCAGGTTCTTCCTGTCATTGTCTTATTGGCTATATACCCAGCATCTTAGAGGGCCTCAGGTTCTTCCTGTCATTGTCTTATTGGCTATATACCCAGCATCTTAGAGGGCCTCAGGTTCTTCCTGTCATTGTCTTATTGGCTATATACCCAGCATCTTAGAGGGCCTCAGGTTCTTCCTGTCATTCATTGTCTTATTGGCTATATACCCAGCATCTTAGAGGACCTCAGGTTCTTCCTGTCATTGTCTTATTGGCTATATACCCAGCATCTTAGAGGGCCTCAGGTTCTTCCTGTCATTGTCTTATTGGCTATATACCCAGCATCTT